TCTCTTCAAAGCGGTATAGGCACCAGTGCTGAAAAAGCCCGAGTCTAAAGCTAAAACTTAAGTAAACCGCACCATAAAGTAACTCTAACTAACACTGTTAACAACACCATTCCTAGTTTCTGCATAGTTCAAAGGTAGTAGGGTACTCTCCTCCCTAACACCCGTCGTTCCCTCCTCCAGAAGTCCGTCTTGGATCCGCCTATGCATACAACAAACAGGAAATGGATAACTACTGGAGACATGAGCAAAGGCCTGGCGCGTCAGTACATCCCAGTAGCACCACTAACACCGCATCCCTCTCCAGGCAATAAAGTGTTAATCGCAGGAAGGGACCGGACTTTGCGCGGCTCCAAAGCGTCCGATCCGAGCATGTTTGAGTCATAAAAATAATAATCAGTACTCAAACAATAATACTTTCCTACGGGAAAAATTTAAGAAAAAATACTAAAACACCAAGTATCAATAAAAAGAAAAAGTGCTAAACCACCAAGATGAAATGTGATCAAACAGTATGAGTATGTAGCATAAATCGATTACAAGTAGCGAACTGATAAAGTATGGATGAATGTTAAATATAAAATATGTACCGGATATGATAACACTATCAGAGGTACCGGCCACAAAAAACAAAAGAAAAATGGCAGTGTTAAGAAAATAGACATCAAAATATAAATGAAGGAAAATGGATGGTACTTCAGGCTGTTCTAAAATGACACACTAATGGTGGGTGTCAAAAATTTTCTCCATATCCAACACGATTCTAGTAGCACATGCCAAAAACAATCATTCGCTGGCAAGGCTATCGATGGCTCCCTAATTCGAGGGCTGCTTATAAGCAGTCTGATGGCTGTTAAAAGAAAAATACTAAGAATATCAAAACCGCATAATCTATCAGTGGTAGTCTATCCCAATGTTAGTGATGTTACTGAGATGCTCCCACGTGCCATTCTAGATGCATACTTCCAGTTAAAAAAAGATGAAAAGGTCCCGACTTTTTTCAGCTGAAGGAAGAAACAAAAAAAAGCAGACAGAATTATTAAAGGAACTGATAATGCATAACAAAATAATGCTTGACAGAAATTAAGTATATGTGAAACTGGATATCTTACAATAAAACCATCCAATTTAAAAAAGTTTTTAGCCAACGCCTATGATAAAGAGTACTGCAGTAGTTATGATGATAATGAAACGAAGAGGGATTAAAAGAACAGGAAAGCACCGATATTCGAATGATGACGAAATACTGTGTGTAAAAAGGACAAGAAACGCAAAAAAAAAAAAGAAAATTAAACCCTAAAAATTTAAATCATCTTTTCTACCTCATTGTTTTTCTTTTTCCACTTCTCTGAAGTGCATTAAAGCACTACTCCTAGTTGGGTGATCATCAGGCTGTACATTTTGTTTTTCCTGAGGAGCTAGTATACTTATACCTTGAAGTCTGGCCAGTTTCTGTGTCATCGTCGCGTTCCCTCTAGCAATACTATAGCTAACAGTTTCCCCATCCCTCTGTAGTTGTGCGTAGCAGCTAATAATCCCGAATAAAGAATGATAAAACAAAAGACAAGCGTGATTGAAAACACAAAAATAAATGATGGAACTTAACAAATACGAAACAAGTGATTGAGAATATACAAAAAAATTGATTAAATAAAAAATAAACGAAATAAATAAGTAGTTTTCGGAGACACAGCAAAGGGATGTACTAAAGAGCTGGGTAAAATGTTAATCCAGGAAGAAATTCAGTTCACAGAAAAAGCACCAGAATGTGATATGTGATAATGGAAGCGATTTTTTTTGCTGAAAATATGAAAGACAAAGTTCCGGATCAGCAAATTTCAGGCCACTGATACTTATAGCATGCTTTGCATGTTTGCGGTGAAGCTGTACCGATTGCAAACACGCGAAAACCAATCTGACGCAACTTCTTCTGGTCCAAAATCAATCGGCCGTCAAATACCGATGCCGGCTGAGCCATTGAGTTGAACAAACGCTTATAATCATAGTTCTGAAAAATACCAAATTCCAGAAAATTTAAGAAAAACACAGAATTGAGAAAAACTGAAGATTGTGGCAGAAAAGAAGCGACCTTACAGGAAAATAAATGGTCAACGTCAAACTCTGATGCTGACGAGATACACCGGTACGCCGAAATCTGCTAAATCAGGTGATTCAATATTCAAAAATTACGAGATTTTTAAATAAAAAAATCGTTCTCACTGTACTCACAGTCTTAAAGCAATCCGTAGTTTTTGGGTCTCATCTGACAGCTACACATCTCAAAAATCATCAACCTTTCGATATTCGCTCTGCATGAGAGTCGGAAGCTCTCGGGAAATAGTCAGAATGATAACAAATGGCAGCAATAACCACCTGCTGGCAAAACTGCAGATGGTTCCCTCTCTCAAGATTTGCTTACAAGTAAGCTGATAAAAGGTCTCTACCGTTTACTCCAAAAACAAATTAATGAATTTCAGAGGGATTAGTTATTTTACCGGCGAGACTGAATCCTCGAGCTGCTGTACGAAAACATTGCTACTTCCCACAGATACATTTATAAGGATCAGAAACTGCGTTTGCTATGCTGTAATTACTTCGGAATCTTGCTTACTACTCATTGATACAAAAGTTCTGGAAGAAAAGGAGGTAAAGGAGTATCTGTAACATACGAAAAAAAAAAAAACAGAAGGGCAAACTGTAACCTTAAACTCATCCCACTCCGTAAGTATAACGATTGCATGTGAATTCTTCGCTGCTTCGTATGGATCTTTTGCAAATGAAAACAATTTATCCACTAAAAAAGGAGAAACAGTTCAAAAAGACAGAGCAATGCATCAGAAGACGACTGAGAAAAAAGAAGTTAAAAAAGGTATAAAATTACTTGCCAGTTTCTTTCGATGAAACTTGATTTAACTCATAACGCATCTGCGATTCTGGCACACGTGGATCGTATACAACCACTTCGGCACTTTCATCCAGCAAATACTTCACAATATGTATAGCAGAAGATTCTCTATAAAAAAAAATATGCCTTTTGTATGTGATTCCTAGAAAAAAAAAAGCATCATCGAGGTATCATGGACTCACTGAACTAATTCAAAATAGATTTTTTGAAATAAAAAGTAAATAAAGTTCAGAATGTCATTGACAAAAATAAAAAAATTTTTATTTTTTTACTTTGGTGAACATTGGAAATGCTATATGTAAGAAAATATGGTGAAAATTGGGAATGCTGTTCGTTCTGCTGGCAAGGCGAAATTTGAATTTCATATTCGTATCTGCATTTCTCATAATCCACTCATACATTGCCCAAAACGTACGTATTTTACATATATTACCAGCAGTCTGCTCACTACTTATTATGAATTCTTTTTGGCTTTTTTTGGTCCAAATGTTGATTGTAATTTACTCACAGCTTCACAATATTTGGTATGAGGAAAAGAAGGTGAGGGTGAGATAAGACGTTTCGGTCCATTAAGTATAAACGTTTCGTTCTGTTTCATACGACTCAACTATACATATAGTTAGTATCTTCTCTGTGTTTAGTAACCTTGTATCCGCTGTATTCTTTTTGAATGCAAAACCGAAAACTGCAATTCTTTTATCGGATACTGTATCAAACATCTCCGAAACAATTTTATCAGCAAATCGTCTTCTTTGCCATTTGTTAATTTCGACAACCTAAATACATTATTCTAAACTAAATAACATTGTTAAATTTAGTACAGACTTTAATTTTGATTTCTCTCTTTTAAATTTAATCTCCCAAGTCGACAAGTTACTCCACTCTGGCCCAGCTGTAGCAACGTTCCGGACGAGAATGGTGAAGCTCAACACACACAAAAGGATCTTGAAACGGCTAAAACCCCAGCAGGGCCACCGCACAGAGTCGCTGAGCTGATAATCCCTTCAGGGATTCAAGGGAATGTCAGGACTGCTAGCAGGCTGACCAACAGACAATGCAGCACTGGTCAAAGCAAATGGAAGTTACCAGATGCATAGCTGGGAGACGTATCTATGAATTAGAGCCGACCCAAGGATTCCAAAAATGTCTAAAACGAATGAAAAACAAGTGTACATATGAGGCCAGCATAACAAATAAACGCCCCAGCTACTATCAGTAATATAA